CCGCCCGAGCTGTCAGGCGGCAGTTGCCACAAATATATTATTACCTAATTATTTCAATGTCTCTGATTGATTTTTTCTTAGTTTTTTTGCAGTAATATTATTCCATACAGTGAATTGTGGTATATTTATATTATAAAATGTGTGAACCATCGCTGTACTCAAAATTATGGTGTGCATATTAATGATTCAATTATTATGTTCATAAAACAATAAACAAATAGTTTTGCTGTTGTTACACTATATACACAGGTTATATATAAGTATTTGCATGTTTTGTACACCATAACAACGTACTAAGTTGGTCTTGTGAGTCAAAAAGCAACGAGGAGTGACTGCCAAACACCAGCGAGCCACTCACTGCCACTCCCTCCCTCAACACCTCCTCACTCACCCTCATTCACCTCCTACAATACTCTTTCTGTATTTATTCACTATACACAGACGTTATATATACGTATTTACATGTTTTGTTCACCATAACTGTACATCTAAGCTTGTATGGTGAGTAAAGGCCACAAAGACGTAGCTACTCACACAGTCAGCTGATCGGCGGCCGCCCTCAAGGCCAGACGCACTAATATTTGTACTTCAACAATATTGTTTGTGGTGTTATTACGCTATATACACATATTATATATAAGTATCTACCTGTTTTATTCACCATACCTGAACAAATAAGCTGGTATGGTGCCCAAAGACCATAGTGGCCATCAGTAAACACCATGCCAAGATGTGCAGACGACGCTCTTCCCTCACCAAAATGGCGGCTCCCAACCTCCTACTCTCGCTGTTATCACACTCTATACACACGTTATATATAAGTATCTACATTTGTGTTCACCATATCGAACCACTAAGCTGGTATGGTGAGTGCAGTCAATAAATGGTGGCCACACACAGTCAGAAGACGACGCCACAACCCTCCCTCGCACAGCCTTACGCCTCCCTCCATGGAGCACAGCGCTAAATATCACCACAATCCTGCTATTATCAGTATCCTGGTCAGTTTTATCACAGTCAGGGGGCTTCAGTAATACTATCACTGCTAAATAATAGCAGTATCATATATATTATGGTATTTGTAGGCGATGCTGTGGTCACAAGCTGAGCAGCGGTGCTGTGAGCTCGTGCTGCATGCGCCAGCCTTGGTGGCTTGCTCAATACTGACGCTGTAACACCCAAGAATGTTGGCCTGGATTTTTTTTCTAGGTGGCATCTGGCAACTATCAGTCGTGGCTGTACTATAGCTGCCCCTATCCCAGGCGGGGAGTTTAAATTATAGCGCTAGACACGAAATCATATATAAATGATGTGCGCGGTTTCGGTTTTGTCACTGATATCATTTATATATGATATGCGCGGTTTGAGGGTTAAACTCGTTAATCGAGGCATCACTGTATTTTGATATCCAACTTCGGAACTAGAGGTGTGGATTGCCGGCACGAGGGCCTGGGGAGGGGTGAGCTGCGCAGACATGCAGCGTGGCTCGTGTGACGTTATGCTTGTTTGCTTGTTTTCCCGTGGGGGACTTCTATGCATTTGTTTAGTTATTTTCATTGGTTTTACCAGAATAGGGGTTTGTTTTGAGGCGCTTACCTTTCTGCCTGTCCCGGTCGATGGCAGATATAGAATGATCCACAATCGTGTGTGCATTTTTATAGGCCATTGCTCCTCGTGCCTCTCTGAGGGGGCCAGGTTCTGGCCATGGGTGTCAGTAGACCTAGAACTCCCACCCACATCGACTGATGCCAAAAGTTAGAACTATCCCTATCAGCCTGGATAGCTCCGGGGAGCCTCCAGGACTCACCCAGAAAATGGCGTTTCATTACATTCAATGCTGGTTTTTTCAACTATTTCCTTGCAAACTTTTAATAAAACCTCACTGTTTTGACTTGAAACAAATAACACCTCTTATTCATAATAAGACTGAGGCTCCCTTTGTAGTATAGCTATATTTCTTTGGCATCTTTGTGTAGTTAGTTTCAATCTATGACCTCTTGTTCTCAATGTTCCAGGTCTCGGGAAGTCTTCCCCGTCAATTTTATCGATTCCTGTTACTATCTTGTACGTAGTGATCATATCACCTATTTTTCTTCTGTCATATAGTTTTGGTATACTAATGCCTTTAACTTCTCGTCGTAGCTCTTGCCCTTCAGTTCTGGGAGCCACTTAGTAGCATGTCTTTCCACCTTTTCCAGTTTGTTGATGTGCTTCTTAAGATATGGACACCACACAACCGCTGTATATTCTAGCTTTGGCATAACAAAAGTCGTGAACAATTTCTTTAGTATTTCGCCATCCATGTATTTAAGAGCAATTCTGAAGTTAGAAACAGTAGCATAGGCTCCTCGCACAACGTTCTTTATGTGGTCCTCAGGTGATAGTTTTCTATCTAGAACCACCCCTAGATCTCTTTCTTTATCAGAATTCTTTAAAGATTACTCACATAATTTAAAGGTTGTATGGGGTCTATGTTCTATTCCACATTCCATAACATGGCATTTATTCACATTAAATTCCATTTGCCAAGTGGTGCTCCATATACTTATTTTGTCCAGGTCTTCTTGAAGGGCATGACAATCATCTAAGTTTCTTATCCTTCCTATTATCTTAGCATCATCAGCAAACATGTTCATATAATTCTTTATTCCATCTGATAGATCATTTATGTAGACAATGAACATCACTGGTGCAAGAACTGAACCCTGTGGTACTCCACTTGTGACATTCCTCCAGTTCGATACATTGCCTCTTATTACTGCCCTCATTTTTCTATCAGTCAGAAAATTTTTCATCCATGTTAGAAGCTTACCTGTCACCCCTCCAATATTTTCCAGTTTCCAGAACAACCTCTTATGTGGAACTCTGTCGAAAGCCTTTTTTCGGTCTAGATAGATGCAGTCAACCCAACCATCTCTTTCCTGTAAAATCTCTGTGGCTCGATCATAGAAACTGACTAAATTCGATACACAGGATCTTCCAGAACGAAAACCATACTGTCTGTCTGATGTTATATTATTTCTCTCCAGGGGTTCTACCCATTTAGTTTATATTATTCCAATATTTTGACTATTGCACTTGTCAATGATACAGGTCTATAATTGAGGGGGGTCTTCCCTGCTGCCACTTTTGTAGATTGGAACTATGTTAGCCTTTTTCCACACATCTGCTACGACTCTTGTACACAGGGATGTCTGAAAAATCAGCTGAAGTGGAATGCTGAGCTCAGGCTGAGTCAAACTCCATCTGGGCCAACTGCTTTGTTCTTACTTAGCTTCAAGAGCATTTGTTTCACTTCGTCTCTAGACACCTCTATGTGCTCTATGCTGTTCTCTGGAATTCTTATTGTGTCTGGTTCTCTGAAGATCTCATTTTGTACAAACACACTTTGGAACTTTTCACTTAATATTTCACACATTTCCTTTTCATTTTCTGCGAATGTCCCCCATTTTCAACCTCTGAATATTATCCTTTACTTGCAGCTTGCTTTTAATGAATTTATAGAAAAGGCCTGGATCGCATTTACATTTGTCTGCTATACCGTTCTCAAAGTTCCTCTCTGCCTCTCTCCTTAATGACGTGTAGTTGTTTCTTGCATCTTTGTATCGCTGGTATGCTTGGGGGTTTGGCCTCTTCCTGTAATGATTCCATGTTTGTGTCTTTTGATCTCTGGCCCTCTCGCAATTTCTGTTGAACCAACCCTGTTTCCTAGGTCTGCATCTCTGTTTTGGTATGAATGTTTGTTTGCCTTCATCATATATTTTGCAAAATTTGGCATACATCTCATTTACTTCCTTGCCTAGCAACAAGTCTGTCCAGTTATACCCATGAAAAGAATTTTTAAGTTCCCCATCTTGAGGTTATCTTGACATGATTTCGGGGCTTTAGTGTCCCCGCGGCCCCGTCCTCGATCAGGCCTCCACCCCCCAGGAAGCAGCCCGTGACAGCTGACTAACACCCAGGTACCTATTTTACTGCTAGGTAACAGGGGCATAGGGTGAAAGAAACTGCCCATTGTTTCTCGCCGGTGCCTGGGATCGAACCCAGGACCACAGGATCACAAGTCCAGCGTGCTGTCCGCTCTCTTGAAATTGAGTTTAACAACTGTTTCAATGCCCCCATTCTCTACTAGATTATATCGCATAACGTATTTAATATCCAAGAGGACGTGATCACTCTTTATCAAGGGAGGAAGGTACTGGATGTACCTTCAAATAGGTACAAATACAATAGGGAGGTACAAATACCTCTTCTTTCTTGGTGAATACTAGATCCAGTACTAACAGAATATTCCCTTCCCTCATTCTTGTGGCATGTTTGACGTGTTGATACATTAATGTCTCCAAGATAAGATTTACAAATCTACCTGTCCAAATGTCCTCTGTTCTTGCCTCATAGGCCTTCCAGTCTATTGCCTTAAAGTTGAAGTCCCCCAGTACCAGCAATCGGGATTTATCTTTGTCTGCTCTTACCATTTTCTCTCTCATGACCATTATGAGGCCCTCTCATTTGTCATCCAGTTCTTCCTTTGTCCATGTGTTGCTTGCTGGTGGGCTGTAGGCATTTAAAATTATCAGTTTATCATCTTGATTCCAGACCTGCAATGCCATTATGTCAATATCTCGAGTTTTCAATTACAGTATTAACTCTCTTACCTTCAGGTGTTCTTTCACCAGCACAGTAACTCCTCCCCCCTTCCTAGTTTTCCTGTCACGTCTCCAAACTGAGTAGCCCCTTGGGAATACGACCTCATTTAAAATATTTTCTTCAAGTTTCGTCTCTGTTACTGCGACAATATCTGGGATTTTGAGCTGAATTATATCCTTCAATTATATTATATTATTAATATATTTTCAAATCTGTGGGTCGGATGTCTAGAAATGGGTGTTTCATTACATTCAAATCTCGATATTTTTCTTTGCATAGGAAGATACTGCGTATTAGGTTGTAAATACAGTTTGTGTAAATCAAAATTCTTTGTACTATATATGTCTTTTTAGGTTCCGGTTCCTATAACAGAGAAACGGTCTTACTTCGTCTCCATGCGATGGTTTGTGCATGCAGGGAGAGAGAAGGAGCGAACAGTTCATTTTCCTGAGAGACTAGCAAGGGAGTTGCTTGCAGCTGCTAAGAATGAGGTACTGTACTGTATTTTAATAATGTAGTGTAGTAATACATCCCATGAGTCTTTCCTCTTTCTTGCTGTGGCATAGTTCTTATTTGTGTTTAAAGTATTTTATATAGGGATTTTTATACATAGTTTTGTGTGTGACAGGCTCAGATTGTCACAAAATTTATTTTTCACAAAACTATTTTATGAATCTAAAGAGAGAGACTGACTCCCCCCAAAAAAAAAGATTGTCAAATTATGCTAACTTGATAAAGGAATATTAAAGTGAAATAAGAAAAAAAGGGACATCATATGTGCATATTAAAATATGAGTTTGAATCCACGTTTCTCATTGTTTGTCATATATAGAAGTTGCTGACACACACACAAACACACACACACAATTCTAATTGCTTTAAAATACATGAATGGTGAAATACTAAAGAAATTGTTCACGACAATTGTTAGGCCAAAGCTAGAATATGTAGCAGTTGCTTGGTGCCCATAACTTAAGAAGAACATCAACAAACTGGAAAAGGTGCAAAGACATGCTACAAAGTGGCTCCCAGGACTAAAGGGCAAGAGCTACAAGGAGAGGCTACAGGCTTTAATATACTAAGACTAGATGATAGAAGAAAAAGAGGCGTGGAAGATGCTGGAGGGTCAAGTACCAAACCTACACAGTAAAATAACAACGTACTGGAGTGAATGATATGGAAGAAAATGCAAAATAGAACCAGTGAAGAGCAGGGGTGCCATAGGCACAATCGGAGAACACTGTATAAACATCAGAGGTCCACAGTTGTTAAACACCCTCCCAGCGAGCATAAGGAATATTGCCGGAACAACCGTGGACATCTTCAAGAGGAAACTAGATTGTTTCCTCCAAGGAGTGCCGGACCAACCGGGCTGTGGAAGGTATGTGGACCTGCGGGCCGCTCCAAGCAACCACCTAGTGGACCAAACTCTCACAAGTCAAGCTTGACCTCAGGCCGGGCTTGGGGAGTAGAAGAACTCCCAGCACCCCATCAACCAGGTAACCAGATATGATCACTACGTACAAGATAGTAACAGGAATCGATAAAATTGACGGGGAAGACTTCCTGAGACCTGGAACTTTGAGAACAAGAGGTCATAGATTTAAACTAACTAAACAAAGCAGCCAAAAAAATATAAGAAAATTCACTTTTGCAAACTGAGTATGGAACAAGCTAAGTGACCAGGTGGTGGAGGCCAAAACTGTCAATACTTTCAAAGCGTTATATGACAGTGCTGGGAAGACGGGACACCACGAACGTAGCTCTCATCCTGTTACTACACTTGGGTAATTACACACACACACACAAGAATGATATTTCAGCTATGTAAACTGTATTCATAATGCTAAAGCTCTTGGGAGGTCACACAAAGGAGTATGATATTCACAACCCTAAACCATAATTCAATTATGACCTTGAAACTTTGTGGTGTGAGGACTTGGTGAATACTATGCACATGAGGTTTATTCATGTTTTGGTACAGTACACATGATACTTAAGCATCAGATTTTCAAAATGAAAAATAATTTTTTTTTTTTTTTTTTTTTTTTTTTTTTTTTTTTTTTTTTTTTTTGAGATATATACAAGAGTTGTTACATTCTTGTACAGCCACTAGTACGCGTAGCGTTTCGGGCAAGTTCTTAATCCTATGGTCCCTGGAATACGATCCCCTGCCGCGAAGAATCGTTTTTTCATCCAAGTACACATTTTACTGTTGCGTTAAACAGAGGCTACAGTTAAGGAATTGCGCCCAGTAAATCCTCCCCGGCCAGGATACGAACCCATGACATAGCGCTCGCGGAACGCCAGGCGAGTGTCTTACCACTACACCACGGAGACTGTTAAATGTTTATAATGTTTTATTATCTAATGTCTCTGAATATTTAGCATGTTCCTTCCTCTGTTACTATTACTAATGTCATGCAAAAATAGCTGGTAAGCAGTCATACAGTATACATTTATACATCTGGGCTGTAACATTTGTTAATACGTATATGATAATGGCTGTTGTAATAGCTGAGAGTTTAGAAGGTAACTAATGTTAAGTTTTTTAGGATTGTGATAGGGCTGGAAATTGAAAGTAAGTCTAGAAGTTAAGCAACCAGTTATGTGACATATGTAAGGCTACTAAAATGTTTATGTAGTGTAGTATGATAATACTTAGTATGGCCTTTCATTATAACACAGTGGTTGATGTGGTTGGCTCATAACCAGGATGGTGTGGTCCTGGATTAGATTTATTTTCAGGGGCAAGATGTTTGTGCGCATTTCCTTACACATGATGTAATTGTTCACCTAGCATTAACACTTTCGCTGGCCCTGTGGGTGACCCGCCACTTACCTCAAGGTGGGCTGAGCGGTGCGTGTGAACTCGCCACCATCCACAAATGTTTATACTCTTTTTTTTTTTTTAGTTTTCTCATCTCAATTTTTGTGCTATGTCGTTCAATTTGGTATCAAAGTGTTTGCAATAGAATACTCTAAAGGAATATATGCATATAAGAACATATAAGTTTCACTTTCCTATACTTTAGACCCGCTGCACACTGCAAGGTAGGCCGATGGCTCATCACCACGCAAAAATGTTTATACTCTTTTCGGCTTTCTGACCTCAATTTTTGTGCTACGTCTTTCAGTTTGGTATCAAATTGTTTGCAGTAGAATGCTGTAAAGGGATATTTGCATATAAGAACATACAAGTCTCACTTTTCTACAATTTCGATGAAAACTCGGTAACTTTTCTTTCGTACGTGTTTCTTTCAATGCTTTCATCATGGATTTGCTGTGTTCTTGATCAGTATCCATCTGGAAGTTGATTTGCAGTGTTTATAAAGCTGTTAACAACAAACACCTGAGATAAAATACCAGAATGGGAAAACTTCTCAACTCGAGGGGAGGCTGCTGCTGTCACGTGCTAGGCCACGAGCACAGTGAGCCTCCAGCGTGGATGAGCGCCCACATGGCGGGGTCAGGATGCCACGTGGGGTATACAGAGAATGGGCAGAAACTGGCGCACCTTTTAAAACACGTCCCATAGTATTCGGACAATAAATGAAATTTCTACAAATTTTAAAATTATTTACACCTACAGTATTTGCGTCATTGGGCATGCTCGGTATTTTGATTTTATGCCGCAATATGTGGCATAGGGCAGAGAAAGTGTTAAATGGTAAATAAGTACCAAAGAGTTGACTGTTGTGGGTTGTTCCTAGGGGATGGTCAGTCATTGGTTAGGGGAACTTTGATAAGCCAAACTAGCTTTCTGTCTCTGACAGTGGGGAAGCTATTGAGGGTATGCAAAGGGGTATTCTACACAAAAACACAGCTCAGCTCTTTCAATAAATGCTACATTAAAAACTTTAGCTTCCTCTCATTAGTCATTGAGATGTAAGCCTCATCCTAACCACATACTCAGACCTTGACAAAGCACTCAGAAGAATGCGAAAGACTTTGTGTAATTCTTTATATAAATTTCACAAATACATAAGTATGGGTTTTTATCCTATGTTGTTATGTCTGTGAGAAGACATTACCATTACTTAAATGAATGTAGTGTAAACTAAAAACTCCTTTCAGTATTGTACCAAATCCCTTCCAGATTTTGGAATATTACCTTATATACAAAACCCTCTTGATAGCTCTAAATATTATGACTGTAATGGTTTTAAGCCTTTGCTGCTTTGCTTGTCATAACTGTCCATTGGATCTTTTTTCTTTTCTGTCCCTTGTCTATCCTTCCATATTCCACTCTCCAGGTCTAGCAACGTATATATGATATTTTATTAGTTTTTCTAGCTTTATCATGGTGCACTACACAGCCTGTCTAGTCCTCAGTCTCTAATAAGGTTGTTTTGCTTCTTGATCCTTGTGAGCCTCTTAACTTAACACATGCTGCAAAGGTTTTGTGTATCTGCCACTGGCATGTCATCTCTCTTTTCATCATCATCATCTCTATTCCTATAGTTGTTATGTCCTTTCCATATTTCCTTAATTTCATTCCCACAAATCCTTTTTCAAATCCTCTATGATCTTCACCACCTCTTATTTATCTTGCTTCTCAGCTTCTATTTGCTGTAGCAACTGCTCTCATCCTTTTTTGCATGCTTCTAATGCAGGTCTTTAGCTCTACCTTCCTTTCAACTTGTTTAGCAATAATTATATTGTAGCATATCTAATATACAGTATCAAGCCTTTATGCAGACTGTACATGATTCCCTGTTATCAGGCACAGGAAGCCAGTATGCTCATCAAGGTTTCCCAACCCCCTAGACCACACACACTTATCTTCTCCAAGATGCAACCCATAACAGTTGCCCATCTCTAGGTTACTTATTTACTGCTAGGTGAAAAGATACACAAGGTGTAAGGAAACGTACCCAAACAGCATCCTGCACAGGGATTGAACCTGAACCCTTTTGGTTCAGTTTGGTGTGGCCACTACACTACAGTTGACACTCTACCCCGACAATTTCAGCTACAGTAGAATAAGTAGTGCTGCAAAAGAAAATAGTGTTCTGGATGTAGATGGATAGTTACACATTTTAGAAGTGATGATGAAGATATAATTTCTTACATTTAATTTAACAGGGACGAGTAGTGAAGCAAAAGCATGATCTCCATCGTCAGTGTGAAGCCAATCGTGCTTATGCCCATTATCGTTGGAGCTAAACTCTTGAAGGTATGTATATACAGTATCTTGTATAGTCTCCTTTTAGCTAGATTTTATGAAGAGAAAGTGATAAGGAGATCCAATATTTACCACCAAAACTTTGCCTTGCCAGTGTTTTATCAATAATGAAATGAAGTCTTAGAATATGCATTTTTTATTTAAAAAATGAATATGAAAGTGTAGCTAAGAATGGGAACTATGCTCATGGTGTCCCATCTTCCCAGTACACTGTCATATGAAGCTTTGAAACAGCTGATGGTTTTGGCCTCCATTACATTCTCACATAATGTGTTCCAACCATCTACCACTTTCTTTGCAAAAGGGAACTTTCTAATGTTTTTTGATAGATTTGTTTCCTTAGCTTAAGTCTGTAACCTCTTGTTCTTGAAGATGAGAGTTTGAAGAAGAATTGTCAATTCCTGTTACTATTATGTATGCAGTGATCATATCACCTTTTTATTCTATCTTCAGTATATTTAGTACCTCTAGTCTATCCTCATGGCTATTGTTTTTCAGTTCTGGAAGCAATTTGCATGTCTTTGCACCTTTTCCAGTTTATTGATGTATCTCTTGAAATACCATATATCTGCTGCATATTTCAGTTTTAGTCTCACAAAAGTCATGAAATGAAAAAATTTCCATGTATGTAAAAGCCATTCTGAAATTGGAAAGCATAGCATAGGCTCCTCATACAGTGTCCTTCACATAGTCCTCAGGTAACAATTTTCTATATAGGACCACTCCTAGATCTCATTATCAGAGTTCTTTAACCTTGTGTTGCTAAGGGCTATTTGGCCATTGTCACCCACAGGTGCATAACAAAATAATCTAAACCTGTTTATTTGTGTTCCCTGATCACGGAAAAAATAATAAAAAAATCGGAAGTGGCTTATTTTAGCTGCTATAGGGCGGGGAAGTCTGGCAAAAAAGAGGTGCTGACTCAGCATGCGTCCGCGGTCTGCTCAGCCCCGGTTGTCAGGCAGGAGTGGCCACAAAGAGATAATTACCTAATTATTTCAATGTCTTTGATTGATTTTTCTTCGTTTTTTTGCTGTAATATTCAACAGTGTGTAGTGTGATATATTTATATAATAAAATGTGTGAATCATCACTGTACTCAAAATTATGGTGAGCATATTATTGATTCAATTATTGTGTTAGTAAAACAATAAACAAATACTTTGTCAGTTATTACACTATATACACAGGTTATGTATACGTATCTGCACGTTTTGTTCACCATAACGAACCACTAAGTTGATATTGCAAGTCACAAAGCAGCGAGATGTGGCCACCACATCTGCCAGTCTGCCTCTCACTGCCACTCCCTCAATGACTCCTCCCACCATACTCTTTTTGCTTTTATTCACTATATACAGACGTTATATATAAGTATCTGCATGTTCTGTTCACCATAACTTCATCTAAGCTGGTATAGTGCCCAAAGAGCAAAGTGGCCATCCCTACGTAGCATGATAAATCATGCAGATGTCGCCACCTCCCTCACCAAAATAGCTTCTCCCCACACTTCTTTTACTGTTATTACACTATATATACACGTTATATATAAGTATCTACATTTGTGTTCACCATAACGAACCACTAAGTTGCCACTGGCTATCACTCGCTCTCTCCCTCACCTCACCTGACTTACCACCATTCTCCTCCCACTATACTGTTTTTGCTTTTATTCATTATATACAGACGTTATATATAAGTACCTGTATCTACATGTTCTGTTCACCATAACTGTTCATCTAAGCTGGTATAGTGCCCAAGGAGCATAGTGGCTACCCCTACCCAACATGATAAATCACGCAGATGTCGCCACCTTCCTCACCAAAATGGCTTCTCCCCAAACTCTTTTTGCTGTTATTACACTATATATACACGTTATATATAAGTATCTACATTTGTGTTCACCATAATGAACCACAAATTTGGTAGGCTGAGTGGCAGTGGCAGCCCGCCACTGGCTGTCACTTGCTCCCTCCCTCACCTCACCTGACTCACCAACATTCTCCTCCCACCATACTGTTTTTTGGTTTTATTCACTATATACAGACGTTATATGTAAGTATCTACATGTTTTGTTCACCATAGCGAACAACTTAGCTGGTATAGTGAGTCCAAACAGTAAAAGGTGGTCACACACAGTCAGCAGACAATGCTACCTCCCTACCCACCAATACAGCGCTAATTATCACAACAATCCTGCTATTATCAAAATCCTGGTCATTTTTATCACAGTCAGGGGTTTTCTGTAATACTATCATCGCTAAATAATAGCATGTACATACAGTATATATTATGGCATTTTTAGTCGATGCTGTGGTCACTAGCTAAACAGCAGTGCTGTGAGCTCATGCTACGTGTGCCAGCCTTGGTGGCACTTAGAACTGAGGACCTCACATCCGGGAATGTGGCCCACGATTTTTTTTTTTTAAATGGTGTCTGTTTACAAGAGCCCTGATGAAGGTGAGGTGAACCCCGTTTATCCGTGGGCCATTTAAATCTTGCGTAGTGTACTCCAACACATCATATGACGTGTTACACAGTTTAAGGGTTAAAGCATTGCACAGACCACACACAATTGTAAATTGTGTGTGGCCTATTTTCTCTTATTCCTCATTCCATAACATGGCATCTAATCACATTAAATTCCATTTGCTAAGTGTTGCTCTACTCACTTATTTTGCCCAAGTCCATCTTGAAGGGCATGACAATCATCTTAGTTAATTATCTTCCCTAGTAGCTTGGCATCATCAGCAAACATGTTCATATATTGCTCTGTATTCCTTCTGGTAGATCTTTCATATAGAACGTTACTGGTGCTAGAACTGAACCCTGTGGTACACCACTTGTAACATTCCTCCAGTCTGATTACTGCCTTCATTATTCTACCAAAAAATTTTTCATCCATATCAGGAGTCTGACTGTCCAGCCCATCCTCCTAAGGTTTCCCAATGTCAAGAAACTACAGTACTAAAGTATCCTCTCCTAACCTACCAGAGGACCCAAAACAGAAAATGGGACTGTAAATTTTGCGAGCCGTTACCATTTTCTAGTACTGTACAACGATTTTTGCCATTAGGTAAAGTATGTGTCAAAATGTGATGCTTTATTAGGAGGACGGGTTGCACTGTCACCCCTTCAGTTTATCTGGTTTTCAGAACAACCTTTGTGGGTTGACCTAAAAATGGTCAGCTATCCAAACCTAAAAGAAATAAAAAGGCTGTTAAAAGCCATTTTTAAGGTCCGGATAAATGTAGTCAATTCAACTTTCTCTTTCCAAAACATTTGTGGCTCCTGACTGTCTGTTGATGATTCCTAGGATCAACATCCTCACAGCCCGGTTTTTAATCAGACCTGGTTGCTGGCCTGGTCAACCAGGCTGTTCCATGCAGCTGCTTGCACCCTGACATGTTCCTGCAAGACATACCAGACCAACCTGGTTTTAGTGGATATGTGGGCTGCTTCAAGCAGCAGCCTGTTGGACCAAGTTATCACAAATCATTCCTGGCTCCAGACTAGGCTTGAGGAGTGAAACGATTCTCAGAAACTACTGGTATACAGTATAGTACACTAGGGTCAATGTTCTCTGATACTCAAAACCTGTCGTTTTCCAAGTTAAGGCCTTTCGGGTGCTCTAAGCCAGGAGCCATTGGGACTACCGGAACAATGCCACTATGCTAGGGTCTCGTGATTACCCCCAAACCTGATATGGATCTTATCAGGGATAAAAACGGGTAAGGGACGCAATTGTCACTTGGAGCCAACAACAAGGATAGAGTATTGTACCATCATTTGTTAGGTTGAATGTCTTTTACTCGGAAGTGTGTCGTTCTTCGTCCCTCTTTGTCGTTTTATGGTCTGCCCCTTGTGTACAAGGATTCCGCTAAGCTTTTGGGGTTAATCTCTGACACTCGTTTGTCTTGGTCGGCCCATATCTCTTACCTCTGAGTTGAATGCTCTAAGGCCCTTTACCTCTTTAAGGTTTTGTCCCATACTTCTTGGGAAGCGGATAGGCGTACGCTCCTCTTTACATTCCTTTCTTGTTCTGTCGAAATTCGATTATGATTGCCCTGCTTATTCGTCTGTATCTCCTACTCTTCACTGTCTTGATGCTTTGCACTATGCTGGGTTGTGCTTCAGCTCTGGTGCCTTTCGTTCAGCTCCTGCCCTCAGCTTGTATGTTGACACTGGCTTCCTCTCTTCAGGACCACCGTGATTGCTCCTGTCTTTGCTATCTTGCACGGTCCTTACAACATCCTTACTCTCGCCTCTGTCGTGCTTTGACATTTACCCCTTCTGTAGTTCCTGTTCCTCTTCACCACCTCCCTCTTTCTGTCTGGTTATCTCACTCACAGGATTCTCTTTTGATTCATATTACCGATGTTTCTCCTCATATTGTTCCATCCTTTTCCCTGTGGAGGGTCCCCCCTTCCTAAATTTTATACATCCCTGACCCGTATCTCTAAAACTTTTACCCCTCCTACGGTTCTGAAATGCCTTTTCCTTGAACACTTTTCTTCACACTCCCACTGCATTTCCATCTTCATCGATGGGTCTAAGTCTGCAGATGGTGTTGGCTACTCTGTTGTTTTTTCTGACCACACTTATATGTGTCGCCTACCTCAGGAGACTAACATCTTCACAATGGAACTTTATGCTATTCTCTATGCTCTTCGTCTCTTGCTTTCTCGTTGTCAATCTTCCTTTGTGGTTGTCGTTGACTCTCATAGTGCCCACATGGCTCTCGGGTCCTTTAATCCGGTCCATCCATTGGTCGTCAAAATTCAACATTGTCTGTTTTTTATTTCCAGTAAATTTATGTCACTTGAGTTTTGCTGGGTTCCCGGCCATATTGGTGTTTCTTTAAATGAGCGTGCGGATGCTGCCGCTAGGGAAGATGTCCACTCTTGTCCCATCTCCCATAAAGGTATTCTTTATTCCGACTTTTACCCGATTATTCATTCCTCCATCCTTGCCCGTTGGCAGGTTGTTGGTCTTCTGTTGTTGGTAACAAACTGCGTACTCTTAAAGAGTAGTGTGTCCTCATGGCCTTCCTCCTACCACCGTAACCAGCGATGGGAAACGGCTCTGGTGAGGTTGCATATTGGCCATACACGCTTAACTCACGGTCACTTAATGGAGCGCCGCCCTGCTCCTTGTTGTCCAAATTGCATTGTCCCTCTTACGGTCATGCATATCCTTGTTGAATGTCCTGACTTCCAGGACTTCTTGCTTCTTGCTTCTAGCGACCGTCCCTCGCGGTCGCTTGTCCCTCGATAGAATTCTCGGTGAATCGAATAACTTTGATATCGTTCGCCTTATGCGTTTCTGTTCTCTTGTTGGCATCCTTGGTGATATTCAGTGCCTCTGATTATTCTGCACTTTTGATGGTGCTACATAGTCTTCCCGATTTGGTGCCTTTTGATAATTACTTACTTGTTAGGTTGAACATTTCATGTATTTATAGTGCATGACATTACAAGCTACTGTATGTGTATTTTTTATCATTTTTTTATTTGTATATAACATGCATGAATACTACTATTTTTTTTTTTTCCAGGTACATCAAGAATAGCCATCTTCCGTTTGTACCCCTTTCCAATTATGATCAAGTGAAGATTTATGACATTCTAGTAGTACTGTATAAAGTTTTTGTATTATTACACAAGAAATGATACTTGCAAGAAACCATTAACTACTCATTGCATTTTGGCTGGAAGTGCTATTAGATCAAAGCAGAAAATTTATAACCAAGCCAATTTTGAACATCTTGTTAGTCCTTGATATTTAAACTGACAGGCCACACTTAACGTTGTCAGTTTTATAATAACATTGAGGTACTGTAAATAGACACTCTATAAATAAAATGTTTTGCAGTAGAGCTCGTTTTTTATTTTCAAAGTTATCTTAATTGTATAATGGGTAAAATATTTAAAAACTTACTTCTGAGCATAATATTCTACATCTTTGATGGTATACAATGATTTATGTTACAAGCCCATAATAACTAAAATTTGTTGCTTTAATAACTTATATTTTCAATGATAAATCTAATACCTCTATTATGCTCAAGAGTTTTAATTTATCAACATTTTTCTTGTACATATTTACACTAAGTGAAAACACTTGAAAAATAGATACCAGTTGAAGATACAAAGAAAGAAAAAAAGCCTGCAACAGATGTAAGAACTCTTATTGCATGAATTACAGCAAAGATCAGGCAATGAAATCAAAGTTGATTAAATGAGAGAAGGAACAAAGAGGGGGGGGGGGAGGCAAGCACACTTCTACAACAGCCCCTCCATCTCTCTCATAAACTGAGAATAGGCATCATCTTTGGTGGGTTTACGATCAGTCTCTTCAGCCTTGCCTCCCATTTCTTTGATATCTGCAATGTATAAAATTTATTGAACATTAATAAATATTGCTGGATTTTTAACTAAAGATACAAATTCAATTCTTGTAAAGAATCTAAGAATATTTACATTGTAGTTTTATTACCTGTAAAATTTATATCAATGACATACAAGCCTAAATTTAACGCTTGTGTTGCTATGGGCTATTTGGCTCGCAAGTGCCATATTTTGGCCGCTATAGGGCAGAGAAGTCTGGCAAAAAAAAAAAAAAAAAAAGTGCTGACTCGGCCTGCATCTGCGGTCTGCTCAGCCCCAGTTGTCAGGCAGGAGTGGCCACAATGATATAATTACCTAATTATTTCAATGTTTGATTTTTCTTTGTTTTTTGGCTGTAATATTCAATAGTGTGTAGTGTGACATATTTATATAATAAAATGTGAATCATTGCTGTACTCAAAATTATGGTGTGCATATTATTGATTCAATTATTGTGTTCATAAAACAATAAATAAATACTTTGTCGGTTATTACACTATATACACAGGTTATATATAAATATCAGCATGTTTTGTTCACCATAACGAACCACTAAGTTGATATTGCAAGTCAAAAAGTAACGAGGTGTGGCCACACATGCCAGTCAGCCTCTCGCTGCCACTCCCTCCCTCAATGACTCCTCACTCGCCCACATCCTCCTCCCACCGTACTGTTTTTGCTTCTATTCACTATACACAGACGTTATATATACGTATCTACGTTTGTGTTCACCATAAAGAACCACTAAGTTGGTATGGCAGTGGCAGCCCGCCACTGGCTGTCACTCACTCCCTCTCACCCCACCTGACTTGCCAACATTCTCCTCCCACCATACTGTATTTGGTTTTATTTACTATATACAGACATTATATATAAGTATCTGCATGTTTTGTTCACCATAGCGAACAACTAAGCTGGTATAGTGAGTCCAGGCAGTAAAAGGTGGTTACACACAGCAGACAACACTACCTCCCTCCCCACCAAGATTACTCCTCCCACTACAGTGCTAAGTATCACAACAATCCTGCTATTACCAGAATCCTGGTATTTTTTATCACAGTCAGGGGTCTTCTGTAATACTATCATTGCTAAATAATAGCATGTACATATATATTATGGCATTTTTAGGCGATGCTGTGGTCACAAGCTGAACAGCAGTGCAGTGCTGTAAGCTCATGCTGCGTGCGCCAGCCTTGGTGGCTCACTCAGTACTGAGGACCTCACACCCGGGAATGTGGGCCATGATTTTGTAAAAAAAAAAATGGCGTCTGTTTACAAGAGCTCTGATGAAGGTGAGGTGAACCCTGTGTATCCACGGGCCGTTTAAATCTTGCATAGTACTCCAACACGTCATATGATGTGTTGCGCAGTTTAATGGTTAAGAAAGGAAGACATTATCTGCATGATTAAAAAATTACAATATCAATGATTACAAACATCACGACAGAGAACTACTGAATGTTAAAAATACTTAAATCCACTACCTTGCTGAAAACCACATCTTGGTCTCTCTCTCTCTAGTGACCTATGACAGCCATAATTATATCAAATCATAGTAAATCAGCCTTGCAAAACTATTTAAAAATTTCTTCCTAAAAATGAACTAAAATAAACCAGTTTAAAGTTTTCAATACATGCTCGAAGAGCCTTGTAGAAGTGGAAGCCAGAAAATGTTTCTATAAGGGTTTCTGAGATTCAACACTAAAAAGGGTCCTGCCCCTTGCTTTAATTTACAGGGTAAACATCTGGACAAAAATATACTGTACAGGAGTGAGAATATAATAGTTTTTTTTTAAATATTACACGAATTAAAGCTGGGCCCATCCGGTTACACCATTCTAATGATGTGATATCAAAATTAAGGCAGATAATAACTTTCTGCTATTCAAGAAACTCCAATGTTAAAACACAACAATAAGTATTCTGGACAAGCTTTTGCTTTGCTCGATTTGTAACATTGGAAAAGTATTAACATTAATAGGAATTACTGTAGAATATATCTTCAGTCCAGTTTATCTCATTTAAACTGTACAGTATATAGATTGCAGCTGACTGAGATAGGTATCCAGTCTCCAAAGCTAATATGTCTCTGGATGCTTTTTAGAGGGAGACGGAGAACACCATAGAAAACAATCGTGGAAAGGTGCTCCGACATCCCACCCTACCCAGTGTAATTATGAAAAACTGACTATGCCAACTCATGCCACAAACAAAATTCTGTTATGGCCTTCGCAAGAAATTTGATACACCACACATAAAAAAAAATCAATATTATTACCTATTTTCCATTTTTATGAGGTCGGGAGACATCAGCCAAGAGAAAAAAGATTCCCAATGACTTGGACTAGATGTTAGAGTGACGGTCTGACTTCCTGCAGGTCGGCGTTCAATCCCTGACCGTCCAAGTGGTTGGGCACCATTCATTTTCTCCATCCTATCCTACATCCTTTTCCCTTTATCCCTTCCAAGTGCTATATAGACATAATGGCTTAGTATTTTCTCCTGATACTTACCTTCCCTTACCTCCAGCAGACATCCACAACAGCACCCTAATGCTTCACAAGACCTAGTGTTCAGTGCTTCTCTTGAATTATCATATACATACTGTAACTACATGACAAATACATTCCTTTCATTCTTACAAATAGCCCTGTTCTTTACTCTATCACACGGGTCATTCACACACCATATGCACCTAATTGTTTCTGGCTTTTGCCCAGTGTTTCTTCTAACTTTCAAATTTACTAGAATATATATACTCATCAGTCCATCATCATGAATACTCACTTTTCAAGAGTCACCTGCAATATTTTACCACTGAAGAGAAGGTACAAGTTATAAACTAAGTTACAGATGTAAAAATTTAACTCACCTGTTTGTGCCTTTCCTAATTTCTTTCTGTCTTCTCTCTTTACTCTCAGGGCAGTTGGAAGGAAGCGAGTTACATCTGCACTCAGATTCCTGTCAAACATTAATTTTCCATTCAGATTAAGTGTCTCCACAATCTCCACAGGTGGATCACCCTCAGAGAGCAGTGATCATCAGAAATGCCACTCTGCCTGTGTTTCCCAAAAAATTATCTTCTAGAATGATACATTTGCATGCAAAGAAGTAAGAAAAGACAAAGGAAAAAGTTATAGTTATGCGAGGTGTACACTGTAGCCAGGTGGAGTGGTCAAAGAGTGCGTCAGCACTAGATAAACAGCTTGCTGGTCCATGGTATAGGGGGTGAGGGGACTTAAATGAGTAAATTCTTAGACAATTTTTATGTTCATGGCTTCACTTACTAGTTTACATTATGTATTTTTTGAGTTAACATAATTTACAAAAATAATAACAGTGCTGTATACAGGTCTACAACATAATATGTAAACCTATGATGACCAGACCACACACTAGAATGTGAAGGGACGACGATGTTTCGGTCCGTCCTGGACCATTCTCAAGTCGATTGAGAATGGTCCAGGATGGACCAAAACGTCGTCGTCCCTTCACATTCTAGTGTGTGGTCTGGTCATCATACTTTAGCCACGTTATTGTGACTCATCACCTGCATATGTAAACCTATATAACACTTAAATCTGTTCCTGGCACAGCTTAGTCTCAAAGGAATTATCTTCAACCCAACTTCTTAACTGCTACAGTATTCTGTCTAAGATCATCATCCAGAAATAATGTAAAACACTGGCAGAAAAGACCAAATTGTGATTTTACGTGTTTTATAAAAATGCGCGAAAACTAAAATTGGCATCATGATGATAATCACAGTGACCTAGGGATAAACATATGACAAAAACCACTTTAATGGTCAAAATGCAGTTATCATCAAAATTTGTTCTGCAGGGTAGTGCAATTTTATGTTAATTTTAGTTATCGTCTCCCAATTTTTATACAAATGTATGGTTATAATACATCTATATAAATTTAATGGATAATATGAAAAATTCTGTTATAGTTTTTAAAGGCTTACTATCATTAATTTATTGTATACCTATGGCCTGTAATTATCATCAAACTACAATTTGGTCTTTCCACCAGTGTTTTACACTATTTCTAGAGGAGGTTCCAAGGCAGAACAACAGCAAAGGAGTGGGTTTCATGACACTTCTTTTGAGCTGTGCCAGGAACAGATATACATACAATATAGATGTCATATTACATTGTAGACCCATATACAGTATCCAATCACCATTTTTGTCAACTGTGTGTACATAAATCCAGTTATTCCACAGACTGTGTAAACTAAGGTAAAATAGTGAACATAAAAACTAACTTGAACACCAGTGACAATGTGTCAGCAAGCTGAATACAGTACAGTATCTACACGTCCTTGGACCCAATGATTCCCCACCCAGCTCCCTCCCGAAGTACACTAAACCAGAAAAGACTTAGATATTTATGTTTTTTGCATTTATCCTTACTTTTTTTTTGTACACAGGCAGAGTGGCACTTTTGACAATAGGTGTACACCCAGAGTAATGGGTTAAGAAGAAGACAAGTTTACAATTAGAAAATTACATCCTAACTCCTACCTCCCTGTTCACATTATACACAAGAAATTATAATTGTTTTGAGAGGATAATATTAATCTATTGGCAAAAGTTAATAAGCAATTGCAAAGTTGGTACTGTAATGTAGTGTGGTCAGTATTTATTGATAAAACCTTGATTCATTGTTCCCTCTGGAAAATGTCAAGCCTTGAAAGGTCGGACAGATATAAAATCTAACTTAAAACACCAAATACTATTGTGTCTTTATAAAACTAAAAAAAAAGACTCTAAAGAGTACCATGTAACATTCTCAAAAATGAAGATGTCACCACCTGCAAGTATTAGGAAGCAAAAATGTATGTAAAAAATCTAGAATGCTGAGCAAGCACACAAGTGAGGAGCTCCAAGTAAACACAACATAATTACAAAATGGGAAAACAATATTTAAAGGAAGGGTAAAGTGGGAGACTGAAACTGCAGTACAAGTGTAACCAAAGAATTGATAAAAAAAAATAGGTCCTCCTGATTTACTTCCTCAGTAATGTGTCCATGGATAACCCCAATCATGAGTATTCTTTTGATGGTGTGAGGGAGGGTCTTGTGTGCCGCACTGAGGAGGTCTGGTTGAGGACTGGGCTGCGGGGACGCTATGCCCCGAAATCATCGCAAGGTAAGGTTAGTAAGGTGTTTGCCATGTAAGGTGACTCATATACTGTACAGTATTCCTCATTTCCTTTCATCTGGGAATTGAGTCTACCCAGTGACTGACTTCCCTGAGGTGTCAGTCACCTCAGAGTGTCACCACTGTGTTGGTGACACACTGTTGGTTAGAGGGATAAGGGCAAAATAGGAGCTTCAGTGAAGCCCAACTGAACCAACTAGCTAATCTGGCTAGAGAGCCTAGTTGGACTTGGGTCAACAGTAATTTGAATTGTCAGTGTCCTTATTGATCCCTGGCTCACCATTCAGATGTTACACTGGTTACTTGCCTATACTCTTTGTTAACTCCAACAAATTAATTAGAGGGAGTTTGGGTGTCTTGTAATCTAATTTCAATACGCTCTCTGTCTACTAGTAGGGGCAAAGGAAAATTATATACGGTGGGACGACCTCAGATTTCGAATACCCCTCATCAAATTTTTCTGTTCTTGACCTCAATTTCTTAGAAAAATTTAACTCAGTATTTGAGGTTTTCCTCAGTGCTCGAGTTCGTTGATACAGTGGGTCCTCAGTTCTCGTTGGCCCCTGTTCTCATAGTAAATTTCTAGATTCAGTTGTCGTAGTTTGCCTCAGGGGTCGTGGTTTGTTTTACACGTACGGGTCCACCGCAAGCGTGGCACTTCAGTTTACCAGTGACTCCCGCCTAGTGATGATTGCGCTTAGATTCTTTGTGAAGACTTTCACTGTTTTGTGCTTCTTTCGTGTCTGAACGTAAGTTATTATATATCATGCCATGGGTTCCAAGAAAGTCAGTGGTAATGTTCAACCTAAGAAAACAAATGTGAGGATGATGATGGAGGAAAAACAAGAGATCATTCATAGTGAGACAATGTGATGTCTCACTACAAACAAGTGTTAAAATGTAGGAAAAAACAATTGCCTATAGACAGATTCTTTGTAAGACAAGCAAGCAGTGAGCCACAACCAGGTCCTAGTGGTATGCCTCCAAAACATAAGAGAGAGTGTACCCCAGAAATATCATCACTGCTGTTATAATGGAAGGGGATGCCCCTTCCAAACACTAAAACCTCTCCTCCTCCCCCCTTTCCTCACTGTCTTCCATACGCCAACAAGAGTCCTCAATAAAGGTAAGATGTACTTGTACATACTGTAGTATAAATTTTAAGTAGTACTGTAGTATGTATAAAATGTATTTTTAAGTTAATATTTTTTTGTGTGTGGGATGGATTAATTCAATTTACATTATTTCTTATGGGAAAATTTGATTCAGTTTTTGAACCGAATTAAACTTGAAAATGAAGGTACAGTACCACTGTCCTAGTCCCCAGCAGGCAAAGTTTCTGTCTTGGATACCTGGCATATGTTAGTGTGACAAGTAATGGCTCGTGTATAAGCTCAGGGAAGCTACTGAGGAGGATGTCCATAAAAGTTTTGTGCATATCACAGTAGTAGTAATATTTACACATTAAGGAATTTAGTTATGATATAAATTAGTTAGTCATTGTGGGTACAATATAAGCAAATAATTCAAGTAACAAACAATTTAATCTATTTTTTTATGAGACTAGACACTAGTAGCCTATTCTTAGAGCAGGGTCCAGATAGTACTATCACTGTCCAAGTGAGATAAGATTGAATATCTCCTACATTTCAACTGACATTTGAAAAAAAGCTGGGGTTTTACAACCCTGTGATAGTATGGTATGTTTATACTCAAGAAACTGTAGCTTCAAAATTTTTTGAAATTCTCACTGACAGTTTGAATTTAGCAAAAGTGAAAGGTAAATAAAATGTCTTGCACAATTTAACATTCTGTACCACTTGCCCTTTTGGACGAATATTCTTTTTGAGCAATTTTGAGCACTTAAACGTGGAAAGATATCAGGCTGTATTACATATCAGACAAGAGACCGGACCTATATATATAAGACTAAGTTTACAAGTTTGACTGGATCTTGGAAGATTAGAAGAATGTAATAGTGTACAGTACAGGTATATGATAATGAATTATTTCTGTACTTAAGCAGAAAGGTACATCACACAGTATAGAAAAACACATGCACTTCTTTCTTAAGTTGTGAATATTTACCAAGAAGCATAGGCTGGACAGTAGACAATAAGAATTTATGGCATATTTCAACTGACCTGATCTGTGGCTTGGCTTCGATGGTTGCCGAATGCTTTTTGTCGTCTTCCCTTGGTCGAGCAATAAGTTGAGGACCTGCAGACAGCACATTTGGGTTGTGAACTGGAGGAAGGCCACGTGGAGGCATTCCTGGTGGTGGCATACCGGGTGGAACACCTGGCGGACGCATAGGTAAACGAGGAGGCATTGGTGGTGGCATGCGCATATTAGGTAGTCGGGGGGGCATTCCTTGTGGAGGAGGCCCTGGTGGTGGACGAACTCCTGGGGGTGGTGGGAGACCACTGCGCATTGGTGGAGGTGGGCGAAACATAAGTGGTGGTGCTCCAGGTGGTGCACCTGGAATGCCTGTTGGAGGTGCTCCTGGAGGAATCACTGGTGGAATAGAAGGTGGAATAATAGAGGGAACCACTGAAGATGATCCTAAGGGTCCTACAGGATGGCCACCTGGAGCAACATTTGGAGTGGACTGCACAACTGTGGGAGTAACACCTGGTGGGATAAGTGGAACAGATGTTGGTGGAAGGGACAAGGTGGTTCCTGGTGGGGCCACAGGCAATGTGACAAGTGGGACTCCAGGTGGTCCACTTACTGAGACTGTTGTTGGTGGTGGAGCAGAAGGAAGGTAAGAAGCTTGGGATGCAACCTGACTAGTGGGAGTTGGCTGTGATGCTGTAGTACCTGGAGGAAGACCTATAGGAGGACCAGCTGGCCCTCTAGCTTGTGGAGGTGGCACATTCAGCATTGGTTGCTGAAGATTAGGTCTTGGAGGCTCATCATCGTACAGTTTATCTAATCGAGCCCTGAGATCAGCCTTACGCTCTGCCTCCTTCTCACGGAAAAGTACTTCAGTTTCCCTCATGAAGTCATCTATGTCTTGGCCTGACATCTGCAATAGCTTAGTCTGTAAGCTGGTTAGTCCTTTAGAATTTGTTATTGTAACCCTCGTGTCCTTTTCTTCATCCGAATCTTCTCCATCTTCAAAACGAATAGTACGGCTTCGTGTTTGACTCTTATCTTTCTCCTCAGTTTCATCATCATCATCTTCCTTTTCTTCTTCCTCTGCCTCCTCTTTCTCTGTACTAGGAACAGCAGGTTCTGTTTCCATTGCTTCCTCCTCTTCCTCCTCCTCCTCCTCCTCCTCTTCATCATCACTAAGGTCAGGTGGCAGTGTTGGAGGACAACCTGGAGGCTTTTTTGGTTCAGCTGGAGGTGGTACATATGCTGACAATTTTTTAAGAATACTATGAGAAGGAACCATATGAGCATTTGGCACTGGCAAGGGAACTATCTCTGGGGGAGGTGGCAGATCAGGCATCAATGCATCAGGTACTGGAGGCATGTCAAGATTTGGTAAAGGAATCTCATCTACCGTAACTGCCTGAGCATGTCGAACTGACTCAAAATATTCAATAAGTGCTTGCCTTTTCTTCTCATAATCCCCTTCCATACGACGAATTTCAACCCAGTATTCTGGATTTTCTCTTTCATACAGTTTAAGAACTCGATCAAGAGTCTCTCTTAGCTTCTTTCTCTTATCTTTTAATACCTTTTCACTGAGAGCTGGTGGGACCTCAACATTGTATTCTGAAAGTTAAAGAGACAGTTTTAGTGGACTTAGAAAAATATAATGCTCGATGAAATACAGGTCAAATATTAATTCACAAGTGGAAAAATTACACGTTACAAATTATGTACCTATATTGTAATATAATTTTGAAACCTATTAATTAAATTCTTGGACTTAGTACAATTTGGCACAAGGATTCATCCTGTTTGATTATTCTTAACCCCCAAACATTTAAGATTGCTGGATGTGCCCTCTTTTTTTTATAAGGAAATTGACTGCAAGAAATGCAATGGTAACTTGTACCACTTGGTGGCCAGTGTTGAGCAGCCAGTTATAAGTGTAAGGACTAGGTATAAAGAAGTACAGTACTGAAGAAGGAATGAGTATAAATAAGTGTACAGTATGAACATTCATACGCAATAATGTGTATAGACATTTAAGCATACCGTGTCCAGGACACTAAATTAAATTCGTCGCCAGAGGTGCACATGTGTCAAGTCTCTACTGTGCATGCGCTAAGTGATAAACACTTAGAAATGTAAAATCTTTGGAAAATATATACATAACACACAGCTGGCAACCCACCAATTCAGTTCTAGAATGATGAAAGCCGCTGACCTAAGGAAGAGGGAGTGTTGGGGAGCCTCCAGGGCTAACCTAGAAACTGCCGTTTCATTACATTCAATGCTGGTTTTCTGTGGGGAGCCCTGTCGACAACCTGTAGCTAACCACCCACAGAGAAGGAAAGCAGAGACTTACCAGGAAGGTGGCAGCACTGCAGGTCTCAAATCGAGGAAGAGACAGAAGCCTACAACAGGCGCCCCAAAGCCACACAAGACCACAGAGGATTTGGGATGTTCACTAAATACCTGGCAGCCAAGACCCTTTTTGACCTCCAAAACACCTGTGCCCAGATATCGTCCCAAGACATATTACAAAAAACAGCCAAAAGAGCGGCATACAGTACTTCCTAACATCATGGGCACGAGGGTACACCACAGGCTGGCTAGACATAATAACATTGCAGACAACCTGAGAAGCACGAGCCCTGGAACAGGGCACCGGGGAAACTGGATCCACCCAGAGCTCATCCACCTTCGCAGAACCAGTGGCACGCAGGTAGCAAGGTAAAGCTGCAACCAGACACACAACATAATGGACCCCAGCCTAACCAACCATGCATCAACAACCTATAGACCCCTCCGGAAGCTAGCCATCTCATTCTTCGCCGAAGAGAAGGAGAGGGTTGCAAACGAACAAAATGACTCCCAGGACCAAAAGAGCAGAAATACCTATCTAAAAAAAAAAAGCAGAAATACCTGAATACATACCTAGCAGATGAAGACGAGTCACTACGACCCTGGTTAAACGCGTGAATACGGGAGGTGCCAGATTCAGACCGAATGGAAGGCAATGAAAGCTGTATGCCTGACATCCGACCATGAAACCTAACCAATCCCTGAACCCCGGATGAATAGGAATGTGCCAATATGCATTCTTGAGGTCCAGAGAAATCATTCAAGTGCCCGGCTCAAGAAGCCAAACCTGGGACAACACAGTCATCCGAAAGGAGGGGCAAGGAATCAAACGGTTCAGACGGGACAAGTCCAGAATGAACCAAAGTTCCGCACAGTCCCATTTCGGAACCGGAAAAAGCGAGAAACCCACTTGAGGGACAAAGTCGTTTTGATCCCGCCCAAGCAAACCCACTCCAAGACCCAACAGAGATGGGAAAGAAGCCTGCCTTGAGACCCCCAAACCCCCCGACAGGGGGCGCCGCCACCCAACGCCAGGAATCGTGGGACCAAGCATGGGCAAACAGAGCCAGCCTTCCCCCCCATCGCCCTGTCAACGGGGGTACCCCGCAAAAGGGCCGATGCAACTTTCGAGAAGCTGACTTCCGCCCAGAGCGACCGCCGCACCGACCAAACGAAGAAGGCCTCGGAGGACACACCAGCTCTGAAACTGGCACCAAAGGCCCACCTTGACCTACCAAAACCCAAGCCCTGGCACTACCACCTCGAGGAGGAGAGAGAACATCACTCCCCCCCCCCCCTCCACCAGCACCAACAAATCAGAAATGTGGCGGCAACTACAATATAATTAGAAGCCACCGACCGACAGAACCTGAAGAACACAGTACTGTACTCCAGAAATAATAGGGGACAGAACGGAGACAAAGACTGCAAAGTCAGGGCCTAAGCTGAATGCAAAGAGAGAGTGAGGACTGCCTGTCAACACTCGAGACAAAAGGTAAAGAATGTAAGACACTGCCTCCTGGAAGATCGGTGCAAACAGCTTCAGCGGGGCAGCTGAAACCAGAACCTCGTCTGAAGGCCCCCACTCAACACCTTCACAGCCTCCAAAAGCCAGTCCGAGGACAGTTCCACAAGACCGAGCACACGCAAGACTGAAGCCAAATGATTGCCAGTTAGATAGTCATCTGCCACCAAGGCAGCTGAAACAGAAGGGACCTAAGCATGTAATTGCACTAGACCCACATCACAAGAAAGCGCAGAGGCAAAGAGACACTCATTGAGGAACTCAAGTGTAACACAGAGGAAACCTCCAATGCCAAGGAAACCTCCAACGCCAAGGAAACCTCCAATGCCAAGGAAACCTCCTGCCACTCAAGCGTGCAGGTCTGACAAAACCTGCGCTAAGCTCCCAAAGAGAACAAAGGGGAATCTGCCAGCCAGAAAGACTCTGAAACCTCGTACCGCACCCAATACAGGGAAGAAGAACCAAACCCAAACGAAGATAGATTCTTTATAGAGGCATAAACCGGGTCTTGCATGAGGTAAGCATCAAAAGCCTCCTGAACCTCAGCAGGGGAAATTCAAGAGGAAGGAAACCTCCGGAAGGACGTATCCGAGGAGCCCAAAAGCATCCAGAAACGAACCTGGGGGGGAAACTGCACCCATCTCAAATTCATACAGGGACGGAGGATATAAAAAAAACCCGGCCCTGCAACAATAACCCCTGCCCAGAAGGCACAAGGGCCCAGGCAACGTCAAAAGGACCCCAAGCCCTCCAAGTGGACCCACCCTGCCCTCAAGTCTTGGGAACTCCTGACACAGGCCCCTGGGGCAGAGCCCTCATCCATGCCCACCACCCTTGAAGAAAAGGCAGATTCCTGGGGAAAAGCTTCAAAGAGAAAACCCCATCAACTAGGTATCAACCAGGTATCAACCAGGCTCACCCAGAAAATGGCATTACATTCAACGGTTTTCTGTGGGGAGCCCCTATGGTTCCCTGGAGCTATATACCCAAAGATAAGGGGAAAGAGGGACATACCCTGGAGGCAGCCGCCACAAACTCCTTAACATGAAGTTGAGACAACTGGCTGCAACCTGTGACCCAGCATAACACAGGAATGCCCGGGAGCAGGCACATTCACCAAATAACGGGCGACCAGGACCCTGTTCGACCTCCAAAATCCCCGTGCCCAAATATCAGCCCAAGACATATTGCCAAACACGGCAGCCTAAGCAGCAAACTTCCTAACATCATGGGCACGAGGATAGACCGCAGGATAGCTAGACGTATTAACCCTGCGGACGACCTGGGAGACTCTAGCCCTGGAACAGGGGAACGAGGGAAACTGGATCAACCCAAAGCGCATCCCCAGCCACCAAAGTCGAAATGCGCAGATAACGGCAGAGAGCCGCAACCAGACACAGCACATGATGCACCCCCGGTTTGACCAACTAAGCATCAATGACCCAAGTTCAAATTCAATTATGTTTATTGATACAAGAAAAAAAATATATCTCAAAGGGATAGAGTAGCTTAGACTATTTCTACCTCCCTGAATCAAGGTCCCCTTCGGAAAGCAGCCGTCTTGTTCTTCGCCAGGAAAGAAGGAGACGGCTGCAAATGAACAAACCTACCACTAGGACCAAAAGAGCAGAAACCCCTGTGTTGGAGAACATGAAGCTCCCTGACTCGACACCCAGAGGCTAATACCAACAAAAATAGAGCCACGGAAAAACAATTCTGAACCAAAGGGGCCACCACAAACCGAGGAGAGGAAAGATAGGAGAGCACCCTGTCCAAGGGCCAGGACGGCTCGGGGGCAGATGAGATGTCCACCCTGAACGCAAGCTGGAGCGGCTCTGCCAGTGCCGCACGATACGAGGTGACAGTATTAGGTAGCAAATGATGGTCCTGAGTAAGCCAAGAAACGACAAGACAACACGATCGGAAATAGAAGACAACCTACAAAGAAAGAAAAAATGGCAAAAAGAACACCAAGAAACTTCATACTGTCGCCGAGACAAAGCTCTCAGATAGGACATCATCAACGAACAAGTAACCCACACTTGATCACCATACAAATGGTGATAAACCCACATCAAAAAGACCAGACACGAAAAGCAGAGGAGAAGACCAAACTAGCCAAGCAGCGCAAACAAGCAGCGCCTGAAACCAAGGCTGGGACAGCCACCAAGTGGCCACGAGGACTACTCTTCCTAGGTAGGACTCCAACCGAGCCAGAACCCAAAGCAACAGCTGAACCGGGGGAAGAGGCACAGGTAACCCCACCTTGACCAGTCCTGCCAAAAGCCTCACAGACAAGGAAGGGCGCCACATAGATCGGGAGATGCCGAGACCACGCCAACGCAAAGAGGTCCACTTCCGGGAGTCCGTACGTCCAACAGAGCCAACGAAAAGAGTCGGCGCCGACAGTCCATTCCATGGACAAGGGAATGAATCGAGACAGGCCATCCGCCAGGATGTTGGACACTCCCCGGGATACGAACCACATGGACAGCCAAACCCTGAGAAGCCAGCAGACGAGCCACTCAAAGTGACCAGTCCCAAAGAGGCAAGGACCGAAGAGAACCCCTGCAATTCAGGTAATGAATCACCAGGAAACAGTCCAAATGGAGCCAGACGGTCGAACCCCGAGCGACCCGAACCCTCCGAACGAAAACCAGACCACTGCGAACTGCCGCACGGTGTTGTGAGCCCGACAGAAGGATGGACCCCACCATCCCTGGCTGGCCTGGTG